GGGGGTGGGGTGCTAGTGGAGTATGAAGCCCTCTGTATCGCGAATGTCAACGGGTGCTTGTGGAGTGCACACGTCTCCAACAAGCCTAGTTTGTTTACAGAATTGCGGCGCATCTTGGTGGGCGGTACCCTGGAAAGAAATCTCTGCGTGAGAAATACAAGGTGTGGCGTGTGAGCGTGTGAATGGAGTGAAATGCGTGTGTCTCACGCAAAATGCGTGAGACTTGAGAGCTCTGTATTTACACACATTATTTTTATGTTCACACAATTAATTATAAGACATATCTAAGCCCATACTAATCTCGCGAGGAAATTGGATGCAGTGAATACCCTATTAGTCTCGGTTGTTTGCAAACAGGACAGCACTATAATAAGGTTTGTGTCTGCTCTTTCTGGAAAAAATTGCCACAGAAACAGAAGCTGACCTTTATGATAAATTAGACACAGGCAACGTAAACTGCTTTCTGATAAAGACTTTGTGGGAGGAAGAAAAGACTTTGTGGGAGGAAGAAAATCCCAACTCCATTTATTAAGATCAGTGGCACCTGGGATACGTTTTACAAACGTTGAAAATGTCTCTGATGATTGAAGGATTTAAGGTGGGATAATCTGACCCCAACCACATGTAGTCTAATCCATTATAGTGTGGCAGCTATTGACCATTCTGGGATGGCGTCTCAACAGAAAGGAGCGTACTTCTTGGCAGATGATTGGACACTAGGGCTGGTGTGTGTGTGTGTGTGTGTGTGTGTGTGTGTGTGTGTGTGTGTGTGTGTGTGTGTGTGTGTGTGTGTGTGTGTGTGTGTGTGTGTGTGTGTGTGTGTATTTCGTATTCCCCACCACACCTCCTGCTGTTGCAGTGGAGTGACGTGACCTGCTTCTGTAAGGTCAATCAGGCTGTGTTGATTTATTCCTTACACTCCAGAGCGTAGAGATACCTCAGTTGGCCCTCTTACATGTCACCATTGCCAATTATTAGTTCATGTTGGTATGAATTCAAAGCACGTCTTATTAGGGTCAGTTTATACTGTTCAGATGGACGCAGTTCATGTTTAGCTGAGATTAGTAAAGTTCTGTTTGGTTGACTTCTTCGATGGTTTTAGAACACAGATTTCGCCTGGGGTTCGGGTAGTCGACTCACTCGGAACATCTCTCCAATTGTATGTCTATGGGTGCTGTGTGTGCATCCGTACATACCTTAGACTTGAAACACCAGTTGCCATCATCCCACCCTTTATTACTGCAATATTGATAACAAGGATCCAGGTACCCTCTTTTTTTTTATATTGCCGTTCCAGCCAATTAAGAATTCTCTACCAGAAAATAGGCAGAAAAATAAGCTAAATCACAAATACCGACTCAAAGGACTACTATTATCATGACTAGACACTTTGTGGCAGATTCACAGAAGATAGATTAAGATCACAGAGAACCTCCACAGGTATTACAAATGACTAGAGGTCTTCTTAAGACTTAAGAGAGCTTAAAAGTATTTGGTTGAAATATATTTTTGCATTATTTCTGAAGTATGTTGATAAAGCAGCACAGGGTTTGACAAAACCACCACATTATACAAATGAATCTCTTTCATACTGCACCAAATGATTTCCAAAACCAATCATTGATAGAACCCCCCCAGGGTTGGACCACAGAGTGACAGCCCGCTCTTGTGCGGATCAGCTGGACCTCTGAAGCGATGAATAACAATACTGTGGTTGTTCTTCAGCTGACACTGGGGAAATGTGATTCTGCCAATCCAGCACATGAAACACACAGGAGCAGGAAGTCCTTAGGCAGCTGAACAGGGTCCAAGTTGAGAAGTCGGAGGTCATAAAGACATGAATGGCCTGTGCTGAGCAATATCTGAGGAACCCAAGATACTTCAGAAACCGGCTGTTTTAAAAGCATGAGAAAGTCTTTATTCAGTGCCTTTTATCCTAAGATGACCTGGAAATATATTTTCACTGTGCGAATAGGGCAAAGAGCGCTGAAACCCTCATACTCATGTTAGTGATCCAAATCCCTAACAGAAGTTCTGTTTTTCTATTTCAAGCTTTACAGGGAAATCACTGTGAAAGAAACTGCTAAGTACCTTCTCTTATAGTGAACATATTTTTATTGGAGACATACAGGGACCAAACCACATATTGAAAGATGGAGGGTGTCAAGAATAAGAACTAGAAAGGAGGAAGAAAACTAAAAGGACGACCTGATGCACACTGTAAACCCCAACAGTACTACTAACTCATAAGTATTATGGGTACTGCAATCAAAACCAAATATCAAGTCAACCGAACAATAAACTTATACGTTCTTTTAACGAAAAGTGCTGTTTAATTTTATGTGGATCAGTGAATGAGTGAATATTCAAATTTGAATTAAAACTTCTGAGTGAACAGTCACGCAGCGTCTGACATCATTAAGTCATGACGTTGCGACGAATCGAGAAAAATCCATCCAACATGGCGGCTCTTGCAAGCGAAGGGATTCAACACATGGTTTAACTTGTAAGTACCAAAATAAGTCGTTAAAACTGTTTTTCTTGTTATAATATTGTAATGATATACCACCCGATGATCATATGTGATCGTTAGACCCCATTGTTAAATTCAGAGTTACGTGCACAGCGCCGCAGTTACCGGCTGCTTCGCGCTATTTTTTGAATGTCGGACTGCCGGTTAAGTACTGTAAGAACATTAACGTTACAGCAGCAGTATGTTAACTTTAGCTAGAAACTCCTATTAGTCAACGGCAGCCCTACTGTTTAAAAGTGTGTTTCTTACTGGTGCTTATTAACGCCATTATCTGGTAAATGTGATGTCATTGCTGAATATTCCTGAATTAAGCTAGTGGCTAACTAGAGCTGTTTTTCACAATTACGTTGATGCTAGTGACAGTAAGCTAATGAAAACTGCAAGCTTGTATTAAAACTCTGCACATTTATTTTTACCGTAGGGTGAAGCTGGTGCATAGCAGTGAGACTCCTCAATATTCAAGGTAACTTATTGCTAACCCATACTGTGTTCTGTTTTTTCATTTAATTAATTTAGAACTTTTTTCCAGTAGCTTTATTTATTTAATTAGGTATTCAGAACATTGAACATAACTGGCCTTTTCTACAGTAATCCGATCATCATGCTTTGTTGAAGTTGCATGGTTGAAATGGTTCAATGGAGTATAAGGACGTTAATGTCAGAGCTGCAGCATGTTAACTTTAGCTAGTAACTCCTATCAGTGAACGGCAGCCCTACTGTTTATAAGTGTGTTGCTGGTGCTTAATTTTATCCGCTGTTATCTGGTAAATGTGATGTTATTCCTGAATTAAGCTAGTGGCTAGCTAGAGCTGTTTTCCACAATTACGTTGAGGCTTACACACAGGCATGTTTGCTAATGACAGTAAGCTAATGAAAACTGCAAACTTGTATTAAAACTCTGCACATTTTTTTTCGTCGTAGGTTGAAGCTGGTGCATAGCAGTGAGACTCAAGATTCAAGGTAACTTGAACAGAACTGGCCTTTCTACAGATCCGATCATCATGCTTTGTTGAAGTTGCATGGTTGAAAAGGTTAAATGGCGTGGAAGTGCAAATTGTGTGCTGTCTCGTCAGACACCCGGGCTCAGTTATTTAGGCACTATCGTTTGAAGCATAGCCAGTACTCAAGAGTTAGCCCTTTGCCATGTGTCTATGACTCTTGCATTTTTTTACATTTCGATCATTTATCATTGCAGGAAGTTGAGAAAAGTGAGAAGAACCCCATCTTGATAGAAAAGCTCGTGCAGACGACTTTTGCCCTTCGTCGCCAGGAGATCGTTTAGGAAAATCCCTTGGTCGGGGACTTTTTAGAGAAATGGCCGGCTCTCCGGAAGGAATCACAGGTAAAACACAGACGCTCTCAGACGTTTTAATCTTTCTCTTTTCTGCCCCTTGTCACATCTTTCTCATAGTCTGCACACCGTTTCCCAATTTTGCTTGCAAAAACTGCCTACTTTGCACACAATGGAACAGTGTTGTTGTTCAATGTTAATACTGTATATTATAAAACAATATTTATTTGTATAATATAAATAATAATACAAATTAAATGAATACTTTGAATATGATCATGTTGCAATATATTTTTACGGAAACAACAAAACCGGTTGCATCACTAATAATTTTACAGTTGCATATCCATTAATGATCTTTATACATTTGTGTGTTCCTGTAGGTTTGTGCCGAGTTTCACCAAATCACAAACGTCAACCTACGGAACACCAGTTCTTTTCTGAAGTAGACGGACACACCCTGCGACTGATTGCCTTGTACAGGCAGAAGGCGGCACGCACTGGCAAGGTATCTGAGGCCCTGCGTGAAATCCTAAGGATTTGTGATCCTTGAAAAAACATGATTAGGATCACTTTGATATCTGATCAGATCAGGAAATCCAATCCAAGCTTTAATCTGGATCAAATCTTTAAAACGGGTAGTTCAAACCGACAACACAGGATTGGGATCAGTTTGATCCCAAAAAACTGGATTATCCTGATCCCACCAGAGGGGTGGATTTCCAGAGCAAAATGTACTGTACAATTTATTTTAAAATATGTTTCAATTTAAATAAGATGGCAANCACACACACACATACACATATTCATAAACACTAATAATTAGCAACGTTTTTCTATATTTTCTTTAATATATTGAATGCAATGTATCCCTTCTTTCTGTAGTGTCGTAATCACTGACGAACACACGAGAGAGGAACAATATTGAAGAGGAAAAACAGAAACCCAGCGAGACACATTTGGTTTTTCGTCCTCGTCCAGCTGAGCGCCGACCAAAAAAAATAACATCCCACAATCCTCTGCACCCGGCCAAGGGTTGGTTGCCATGGTGATGTCAAGGAATTAATTTAGAAGAGGAAGAGGGAGAGGAGGAAGAAGTAGAAGAAGAGCCTTTTTCCTCGTCCTTCCTTACTCTCTTATGATTTTAATGTATCTCACACTGTGCAACTCACACACGCACGCACGCACGCACGCACACACACACGCACACACACACACACACACACACACACACACACACACACACACACACACACACACACACACACACACACATACACTACACATACACACACACACACACACACACACACACACACACACACACACACACACACACACACACACACACACACACACACA